TCTAGTAGCATATATCGCCCGTCCAAGACTGTCAACAATTCTTCAGATGTTTTCCATGCCCATTTCTGAGGATTCTCAGGATTCTTATTCATCATCTGGACACCATCTTGCACAGAGTCCCATGCCTTGTCTGTGAGTTTTCCAGTTATATACAACACTTTTTCAAATTCACCAGAGAAGCAAGCCTTATCCACAAGGATATTCTGTTCAACTTGTGTCTTCCATTGCTCATAGACTAATTGCCTTTTCTCCATATTAATCTGATTTCCAGTGAACTTATCATGGTCTACTGTAGTACGGCGAGGTGTTGGACGGATGGCCTGTTCTTTAGAAACAATGTTGGAGTTAGCAATATTGTTTTGAATTTGAGTTTGTAACCTATGAATTTCTTCATTCCCCAATGATACCTGAGCATTCAATTTGCTTATTCTCATATTTAATGTATTGATATCGTTCAGACGGCTTTCTACTTGCTGGTTCTTCGTTTCTATTGTTTCTCGTGCCTTTAGAGTATCCTGATGAGCGAGAGTAAGTCTTTCGCTTAGCTCACTGATGTGTCCTTTCATGCCTTTGAAATTGGACTCAAATTCAGATATTGTTGCTGACTGGTGGGAAGTCTGTCTGTTAAGTACTCCAAACTTAAGATCAAAACATTTTAACAAACTGCAGAACATTATTTTTTCAGGTGAATCAGAAGTTGAGGCTATGGTTGTCAAGAGAGGAGTCGGATTTGAGTCTGGCGGGAATGTGTGGTCTCCAATGGCGCTGGCAAGATTTGGCCAACTTTCACGGAAGGAATCTAAAAGTTGATTCAGAGTAGACGCTACCTGGTTGCTGGCCATTTTTACAAAAACTGGATAAATTGATTTTAAGAATATAGGATTGCCTTGTCGCGTTCGAGAAGGATCTTCTTACAGGATACAATTTTTTCTGGTTACAGGTAACTGGATTAGGGAAGCAAAGAAGCAGAGAAGCAGGGCGCAGTAAGGCACGTGTGTTAAAGATCGCACAAAATGTCACGGAATGTATAAAGGGAGTATCAGGATCTGGATGGTTCGGGATCAATAACTGTGTTGTGCAATAAGGAGAGTAAATCTAAGTATGTACATGGAAGTCTCTAAGTCCCAAGTTTGCTAAGCCATTCCTAGGACTTAGTCCTGTGACAGACAGAGAGATCCAGTATAACAATACAACAACAGATAGAGGTAGATTTGGAAAGATATAGACTGTGCTTTATGTAGATTAAGATTATAAAAACAATGAGTTATAAGTTATAATGATGCATAAAAGAAAATAACTATAATGTTATCACTAAATATACTAATAATGTTAGTGACTTTATAGTTAGTAGTACTATTATTATATAGTCAAAGAACTTGGGGATACTTATCATTAATCACTGAGGACAATAGCTTGATGTTATGTCAATGTCAATGAATTTCAATGAAAGGTGAGTTTAAGATGATGTAAGGGCTAGAAGTAGAATTGTATTCAAATTGTACTGTGTGCTGTGTATAGAAGATCTTAAACTAAAAAAAGAAGATGAAAGAGGAAAAGTCTTCCTTATATACATTGAAAGGTGGTCTGTACTGTTACCAGACTATACCAAAATAGAGCGACTAAACAGTCACCTGATTGGTATCAGCTCAGATCAGTCACCCAAGCCCAAGCCTTGGCTGCCTTAGGCTCTAGCCCATGACAGCCTGGGCACCTACTCCACTTGGGAAGGAGATACCTTAGACCACATTTCCCGCGGAGAAAAGTTGATGGATAACTCAGGGTTTTTGAATCGTTCCCCTGGGTGGGTATTTACGGATGAGGGTTGACTTGAGGTGAAGAAATAGCCACCATAACTTCGCAGTGGTACTTGCAAATGAAATCTGAGGCATGACTGCTCTTCTTGTAAATTGAGTCATCTTTTCTGTACTTTTCTTTGATACTGTGTCATAGCTAGATAGCTGCATACGCAATTAAAATCTTATGCAAAAAAAAAAGCTTGTGATATAAATACACCCGAGTATTCCGGCAATAAATACACTTCACTTGTCACAGTTCAGGCCCCCAGTCACCTGTCTCCGAGTCCTTTAGCTTTGCAGGCCTCATCCTTATGCCAAAGCTGCAGGTTCAAATTGTTATTACATGCCTCCAGTATCAACTCTCTCGCTTCTTGTTCAACAAATGAATGACTTGTAAACTCATATCTTTTCATTGCTGATCTATCTCTCCTACCTTTGGCTATTTTATCGTCTAGCTATTTGCCTTCTATTCCAACATGTGCAGGATACTATTAGAGATGAACAGTGCACCCTTGAGATGCCACTCTGATTTGCTAAGAAAACTGGTCTGGGCCATGCTTGTCGGAGGCTAAAAATAACCACCGAAGAAGTTGGACAAAGAAATGTCTCGGGTCAAAAATAGGGACTGTCCATATGTACGTGGTTTGTTTGTTTCGGTCAGTGCTTCTATTCTGTATTTAGAACTGCAGGTTATTCTATTACTAGCGCATGTCTATATTTAGAGATCAAGAGATCAAGTCAATCATGATCAGTGTATATAGTCCTAGAATTTGGGGAGAAATAGGAAGGAAGTTGTTTTTGCTGAGTTATCTTTAACTTTAATTACATGCACTTCGCCTGTCACAGGTCAGGCTCCCAGTTACCTGACAATGCTTGGCCTGAAGGATATTACCTGACCATCAGTGAGTATGTGTATGGTCTTATGTGAAAAAATTTTCTCCACATATTGTGTAGCTCTCAAAATTTAATAAGTCTCGACATCTGTGATAGCCATAGTATCCCCAAGGTGATATGAGACACTTTTCTTTGAGATGTTCCCCCGGGTGGGTATTCATGGATGATGGTTGACTTGGGGTGAAGAAAAAGCCACCATAACTTTGCAGTGGTACTTGAAAATGAAATCTGAGGCATGAGTGCTCTTCCCTTACGTTTAATCATCTATTCTGCACTTTTCTCTGTTATTGTGTCATAGCTAGATAGCTGCATACGCAATTAAAATCTTATGCAAAAAAAAAAAAAAAAGAAACACATTTCATCCCATTAGTGATTGACAGGTATACCAAAAAGTCCTTGCTGCTTCCTGTCTCTTTTAATGGGGATTCATTTGTCTAAAAATTGACAAGCACGTTGGTTGCTCACATGCCTCGTATTGTTTAACCCATGGGCTGAATAGTACTAAGGTATAAGGCTCACGTTGAAGTTCGCAACACTACTTACACATGCCCTTTTATCAACAAATTCAAGGACCGAAATACTTAATCTATGCTCAAGACTTGAATTTTTTTTGCATCTGATTTTAATTGCGTATGCAGCTATCTAGCTATGACATTATATCAAAAAAAGTACATAAGAGATGACTCAATATAAAGGAAGAGCACTCATGCCTCGGAATTCATTCGCAAGTACCACTGCGAAGTTATGCCGGCTTTTTCTTCACCACAAGCACTAGGGTTTGCCTCTCACTGTCTATGAGAGCAAAGTTAGAAACTATCCAATTTGAACATGAAAATTTAGCTAGTATCTAATGTAGATTTTAGGAGTCCTCCATAGTCATAGGCTCAGTTAGGACCATAATAATAATCTAATCAACCCTTGTCCGTTGATACCCACCCAGGGGAACGTCTCAAAACCACTGAGGTATCCAGACATGCCTCAATCATCCATTTACTTTTCTCCGTGCGAAATGTGATGTAGACGTCTCCTTCCCAAGTGGAAGAGGTGCCCAGGACTAGAATTCACTGCTAAGTGAAAAAATTTCCTATTTTTAAATAACGTTTTGAGACTAGAGTAGCCAACAGCAATTCAACGTCCTCCTCTCCGAGTGCGCACATGTCCTTACTGTGACCTAAAGTTGTAATGTCGAAGTACACCTAATGGAAATAAGTCTCATGGTAGCAGATTTTATGAGAGATTGACCATGATATGATATATGCCAAGATAGATGTTGGTCCAAACAAGATGTATGATTACAATTCTGTTGATTTCCACTTGCCGGGATTCTGGTTCGCCATGGTGTGATGGTTCAGTGGTACCTAATCTGGGACGATATCTCAAGTAAGATCTAAAGCGCTTGAACACATACTTCTCTCGGGACATGAAACTGCTGGACAGAGCCTGGCAAAATATAGACACTTTTGTCGCAGCGCTGGCAAACATGGATGACGAAGGCATGCCTTTGACGGTCAAAGGTTTTGAATTTCCCTTTAGTGGGGACTTACGGAGGAGGGTCGACCGTTTGTGTAAGCCAATATACCTCATAGTGGTTTTTGCGAATGAAACCCAGAGTTTGCGTGTCTCTAACGTCAAAATAGTCATCATACATGTACACATAGCACCGGTCATGTTTCATAGCTAAATCGTTGAATACACATTAAATGATTAAAAAATAGATCTTGATTCTAAAAGTCATATCCCCTTATTCTGGCAGGTTCTTTCATCAATCATCGAGCAACGGCTACGACAGGCAAAAAACCTCTATGCAAATCAATTGATTTCGTTCGTTTACGTGGAGAAACCTTCACGTCGATAGCAATCAAAATTTAATCTCCATACCATGGCCCTATAAGGAGAGAGTGAGATTTGTAGAGAAATAGCCTTTACGTGATCCATAGATCAGTAGTCAGGATGAGAATGCTCTTTTCCAGAGTGGATGGGTTAGTCGTGTGTATGCCTGCTGCTGGAAGCGAATGATCTATGGAATTACTGATAGATAGCCCAGTCATTTCAAGATGGGGCTTGCATCTTCTATTTGTGTGATAAGCCTTCATCTATTCGGTTCCATTGCGTGTGATGATATACAATTGCATGGACTGACCTAAAATCCCATTTGAACAGTAGGTCATTAAGCCCAAACCACTTACGTTGCCGGTCATCTGTAATTGCCGACAAGGCGCACGTACCAGATCAATACCTACTGCTGCCCCTCTTGACGCCTCATTGACAATAGTAGTAAACAAGATTGAAGGCAAGATAAAATTGAATAGTATGGACCTTGCCTACGATCATATTCAAGAGGAAGCTCTCGCGCCGGAAAAGAAGCTCGAACGAAACGAAAAACAGCCTGAAACCACTCTCAATTCAGATTTCCAGGAAGCATACAAGGCCATCTCCTCTAGTCCATGGGGTGCCAAGCTTGGTGGCTTCTTTGGAAGCGTCGTTAAACAGGTCAATCTCGAAATTCTTGTGTCATCAAAACAAATATTAACCAGAAGATAGGGCGAGGAAGTCTACAAGGAGGCGCAAAAAGAACTCAGTGAAGTAGGGGAAGAAGCAACCAAAGGCCTAACAGGACTCCGATCAACGTTAATCAGTAGAACAAAAGGTTTCTCTCTTCGAATACCTTCGCCATCAATTGATGCCCCTGAAAATAGTGGCCTTGAGGAGAAAGAGATACAAGCTGAGGAAGTGCTTACGCCGTCCGGGGGTGTGCTCGCACGACTTCGTTCTGAAGCCTCTAAACGACTGAAGAAAATTGAAGAGGCAGAGGATGCCGCCGACGAAGCACTATTGAAGTTTGGTACTAATATTAGAAATCTTTTCCGTGATGCTATAACTATCGCACCACCATCCGAATTATCAGAAGGGCAACAAGACTCTGTTAAATTCGAAAGCAAGGATGCTTCGGGCAGAAGATTTATTCATACAACTCGTTTCGACGCTCAACTTCATGTCATCCACACATCATCAGAAAGCTTTACCCAGAACTCCCCGAGCGATGAGTACAACGAGTGGGCTAAAAAATTCGATGTAGAGAGTCAGACAGAAGCTATCAGCAAAGATTTAGACCTTTATGTAGAATTAAGAGGCCTGATGGAGAAATTAGTCCCGGACACGATTTCGTATACAGATTTTTGGACTCGATACTACTTCTTAAGACATAGCATTGAGACTGCTGAAGCCCGTAGGAAAGACCTACTCAAGGGTATGTGGTATTCCCACAACTAACAATATTTCTTCTAACCCTAACAATTTATAGGAGCTGCTGCTTCTGCAGAATTAGAAGTTGGATGGGACGAAGATTCAGATGATGAAAAGGATGCGAAAACTGAAGTTAAGCCCGTTAAAGAGTCAATTTCAGCTCACTCCTCTGCTACTATTCTCCCAGGAAAATTCCCTGTTGGACCACGGCTTCTAAATGCTGAAGAGTCTCGCTGTTCGCAAGATGAAAAGTCCATTGCTGACAGTGAAGCAAGCTACGATGTTGTGGGTTGTGCATCAGCTGCTCCAAGCAACGCTGCTGGCAGCCCCAAGCTGGATAAAGATGAAGAGAGCGAAGAAGACTGGGAATAGCCTGATGAACACCATAACTTTGTAGCGTATATATTCGCAGGTTGGCGTTTTCTGGCCAAGATTCATTTTCTTTGGTTTTTGGAGGTATGTCGAAATTAGGGTTTGGGCGCAGTTTTCCGGCATTAATTTTCTGCCGTTATTCCGTACAAAGAACATAGACTTGATTCAATATGTGAATTCTCGCGATTCTAGTCATCATCTTTTCCTGGTGACTTTGGTGAAACCGTCTTCATCAACCTCTGGCTTGGCAGACTCCTTCCTATGCATGAGTTGCGGAGCCACGCCATTATCAATATCCATAGCACTATCCGAGATTTCTTCATCGTCGCTTCCACTTATTTCGCCATCATCATCTTCGGCCTTGACATAGCTAGAAAGTTCGATATTTCTACCTGTCTCCCTTGAATCCCATCTCGCCTTCATTGTTAAGACCTCAGCCCAGTTTCCGTTCCCACAATCCTTAATTAAGCGCAAAATCGTCTGAGCAACTTCATGAGCACTGTCATCATCGACATTCACTTCAAATTCATCTAGCATAACATTTAACAAAAATTCTTCAATCCATTCAACATCAGCGTCAGGGTTGGCAGCAACGAGATCAATTGTCTCTGAAGCGAACCATTCACGCTTTGATGCGGAATCGGGGCCACCCCATGCAGCCGAAACAGCGAGAGTGAGTGATGGCCAGAGAAAAAGGGCTAATGTGATTCCGAGTTCTAGATGTGCTCTGTTGCTGTTATCTAGGAGCGCGGAGGTCAGCGTAGGAGCGGCCAGCGTCGGGTCCAGTAACATACCTGGTCCAGAAATCTTGTGATCAGAGACCGCAAGCCTAGATTCTACAATCTCATCACTTTCAGCTTCAGCTGTGTGTGGCATGCTGGTTAGTGTGGGAGTGGCTTTTATTTTCTGTGGTGTCGTGAAATTGAGTTTGCAGAGAATTTTGAGCCTTTTCGCCACATTTAGGCTTGGCACATGACGTCAACGTCTGAGCTTGTAAAATAATTTCGAGACGAAACTTTTCGAGTGTCAAGGGTTAATGCCACTTAAGCTTCCCACATTTATCAGCATGTCTCTCCTTTGTGTGTTCCTGTGGTGCCAGAGAGCTACCCTGAAAATTCAAAGAGCAACTGTTAACGACGGATGGACGATTTTTTTTAAGCGGCTGAAGCTGAAGGAGATTCCCGAAGTACTTTGTTCGATACCATGGTTTTCAATATTGTCACAGTAGCTGGGGCGGCGATTCCAACGATATGCGCTACCTTTTTTGCTCATGTATCCTTTCCGGCTCTAACTCTAAGTCTCTAAATTAACATATGCCAGTTTATATATAGACAAGCAAGAGCTCAAAAGCCTACTTCTCGAATTTCATACGACGAGGGAGTCGCTTTGATTCGAAAATTTTTAGTGCATGCCTCTCATCATACCGTTGAAGAGCTACAGAAATTTACAGCCCAATGGCTACCACATCCACCCTCGGTCAAGGTAGATATAATTCATATTGAAGAAAATTTTCTTCAGAAATCCGCTGAAGCCATCCAAATTCAGCTCGGAAAGCGTGGCATAGAAAGAGTAGGTGGAAAATTGTGGTGGCAATGGAGAATGCCTGGGGATGAATTGACTGCAGAATGGGTTGAGATGAAGAGTGATTACAACCAACGTATTTCAGGCGAGCATCATGGGAAAACAATTATGCTCTATGTGCACGGGGGTGCCTATTTTTTTGGCTCTGTCAATGAGCATCGCTATCAACTACAAAAGCATGCGCGTAAATTGAAAGCTAGGGTTTTAGCACCCAACTACCGGCTTGCACCACAATACCCTTTCCCCTGTGGTCTACAGGATTGTTTGGCAATATATATGTACTTACTTACTATACAGGACGCATCTTCTATTATATTAGCAGGTGACTCTGCTGGTGGGGGCATGATTTTAAGTATACTGGTTATATTAAGAGATCAAGGGGTTTCACTTCCAGCTGGTGCTATACTTATATCCCCGTGGGTTGATTTAACGCATTCATTTCCCAGCGTTGCTCAGGACAATCCATACGATTATATACCATCCCATGGGTTCCTGCATAAACCATCCATATCCTGGCCTCCTCCCTCTTCAGATGAAGTTTTAGCTATCGAGGATGCTATCGGGAGAACATTAATGGATAAAAGTTCACTTCCAAAATATAAGGAGACAGGTCCAAAACCGGTCGTTATAGTGGATGGAGAGCCGATGGAAATAAAAGATCAGATACATATGTACGCAACAAATGAAATGCTTCATCATCCGCTGATATCACCCGTCTTTCAGCCATCACTCGGTGGCCTACCACCCCTAATGATCTTAACGGGTGGTGGTGAGGTGTTACGCGATGAACAAATTTACATAGCACATAAAGCGGCAAACCCAACTAAATATCCAACAGGCCCGGATTTTTTTGAGGATTCTGAGCAGTACAGGTTAAAAGAGCTAACTAATCGATGGGCACCCACAAAAGTTCAACTGCAGGTGTGGAGTGATCTTTGCCATGTAGCACCGACACTGAGCTTTACTCTACCAGCAAAGTACATGTTCCGATCTATGGCTCAATTCGGTACATGGGCAATTACTCAAGCACAGCAGGAAAATATAGATAATCTAGATTCCCATGACGAATCCTATACTGCCTCCTTTATTGGTAATGCCGGGGATCCTCTTCCTAGGTTCCGAAATAATATGATACGGGAACGAGTTGACCACCATGGAAAAATTACTAGTCTTGAACCTGAATCAGAAATTGCAGCTTGCAAGCTTCACTTCTCGAAAATTGGAGTCGTCAATGCAGAAATGGTGGTTAAGTGGCTAACCGCTAAGCTAGAAAATGACAAAAAGTTTGCCACTCTCTCAAAAAAAATTCAGAAACAACGAATAAAAGAATATTCTGAAAGTCGTCTATCTATTGAAAGTAAAGAATTCCCGCCATTAACTGCGCTTGCTTGCCGCCGTTAAGCAGATTAATTATTTCCAGAACTAGACATAGACAAAGCATCATTCCCATAATGTAATTCTAACTCACTGATGCGAGAAAATATCTCCGACGGGTGAAAAAAGGAAAATAAATATTATTGTTAGGAAATAAATTATATATAATCTAAAACTTATCTAGATATTAATAAAGATTATGATGATAATTATATTTTTAGCGTGACCAGGTACTATCCCAGCTATCAAAGCTCAAGGCACGGGTGGTACAGATCTAAATAAGATTCTCTGCTACCTACATCGTTGGTTTGTCGCAGACCAGAAAGGCAAAACTGAAAGCAACTAAAAACACATTTTCCAAGGAGCTGATGCCCCGCCACACCTTAATCATCATGCCACAATTAGAAAAGCTCAAAGAAGTATCACAGCTAATTTCTGGGATGACTGTTCACCATCCATCTTTGCTATAATATTTTGTTACACTCAACAAACGCTAGAATATCTGCCATCTCTCGTGCAATATCATGGGCCGTGATTCTTTAGTTTTCGCACGCCATTTCTTAAAAGCCGGGCAACTCTAGAGAATGCCATAGCTGCTTTTCTCGTTCGCGTGTGCAGAGCATTTCTTCATTCTGATGTTGGAATCGTTTGAGAAAACTCGCTGTCAGGGTATAAAGCTATTGAATTTGAATTTGATTTCAATTAACCCGATCAGGCATCCTATGGGTCCATGCAGGTGACTATCTGCATTATTTACAAAGGGGGAAACCAATTTAGTGAAAACCCCCTGATCCTGTCTTTTTATGTTCCTATCAACTTATTTTGTTTACCTTCAGGAAGTGCAGTGTACACTGTTCAGCCCGTGTGTATTCCGTCCTCTCCCCTTCCAGATCTCTTTACTATATCTGACATTGCTACCTCGACTTCCCCTGCAAGTCAAAACTGTTTTATCCACCCTTTGTTTAGTATCCACTGTGTAATTCTAGCCATATCTTCTGGGCTGTTCATCATTGCTTCAAATGACCTGTCTTTAGCTTGTCGGAGAAAGTCGACTCTTCCATTTGCCCACTGCGGACACGCTAACACCATGTGCTTGACGTTTTGCGACGGATATCCACATTGAGAGCTTGGCTTTTCTACTCCGGGTACTTTTCTTCTGCTCAGATAAGAATTGAGCCCGATATTCTCGCTTTTTAGCTGAATGGCGACACTGCTTTTGGCCCTGGTTAGGTTACGGTGGATTCTTAAGGGTGTATCTTTGAAGTTAATTTTGGCGCTGCCTGTTTGTTCATCAGTAAATATATTTGCCGCTTTCCTGTATAATGCTGTTATTATATGAAACAATAAAGCAATCACGTGTCACCAGATGTACATTATGTTCAGGAGCTACTTGTGCGTTCCCTTTCCCTCTTTGTAGACAATCAAATTCACCAGATTTGGCCTCGTAAATCTTGCTTAGCTTTCTTTGACATATTTTCTACCTTTCTTATTACTCTACCTGCTAGATTTGACATTGTCGATCAATTTACACCTCTTTTCGTGACACATTTTCCTATATCACCTCATTTTCAACACAAATCGTTTTTGCACACTTTCAGTCGCTAAAGTAGAGAACAACCCTTGGAATCTCGAAGGCACTGGCTCCCAACAACCTCAGATAACAGCATCTTTAGTAGAGAGATTCAAGGAGTGTGAAGCAGAATTTATGAAAAAATACTCCCTACTTTGCTCTGTTCCCAGCCAGGAATTGTTAATTCAAGATATGCAGAACGTTATTCAAAGCAAAAACGCAGTTCAGCTCAGTGAGGAAATCATAACTCTGGAAACTTCGTACGCGAAGATAGAATCGAGCTTTACCAAAGTAAGAACGACTATGACGCGCTGCTTAAAAATACCAAGAGCTTAAGGAAGCCTATCCAAAGCTTGACAGACAGAAGAGGGCGGCGGGTTTAAGCAGCTCACAGCTGCAGCAACAAAATGCTAACCTACAGGAGCAGATCAGCGCCTTGCAACAAAATGTCCCAAGCCCTCAAAAGAAGAATCAGGCCTCAAGCCAACCTAAAACTAACACTCCTCAGAATGCGCACTCTATACATCGATCGGCCGAGAATTCGGACCCTGAACTCTTCTCTGCAGATGACCCAAAGCAACGAAAAGACCTTCAACTATTCATTTGAAGGATAAATATGAAACTCAGTACCAACGCTGACTGGTACCCATCGGGCAGAGCAAGGTGATCTATCTTATCTTCCGGCTTAGAAAGAAAGCATACTCAACAGTTGCATACGGAATTAATAGGGATGGCACCGTCAGTTTCCATCTACTGATGCTATTTTAATCTTGTTGGAACAATCTTTTTCGGATGTGGATGAGATAAATGCTGCCCGGCGAGAAATCCTAATCATCAAACAGGGTCGCAAAGAAACAGCTACACACCTCATCGATTGGTTTGAGATCGCGCAAAGAACAGGTCTCTCTGAAAATGCTCTCAAAAACCATCTTTTTGATTCATTGCATCCAGATGTCACGATTCACGCACTGATGCATGAGCAATCAGATTTTACGAAGGTAGTTTGTAATTATCTCTGGTTCTCTATCTGAATTGTACTTCGACCATTTATACATTTACTGGAACATCTAGAACCAGTATGTCACGTGATAATAATCATATGCTACAGTGTAATTATCGGATCACTAGCCAATCACAGTCTCACAATCCTCGACACTTCCCTGTCCGCCCAAATTCGACTACCAACTCTCTATATACCCCCCGACTGTCACGGAATGTGTAAAAGGAATATCAGGATCTGGATGGGTCTGGATCAATAACTGTGTTTTGCGATAAGAAGAGTGAATCTAACTATGTACATGGAAGTCTCTAAGTCCCAAGTTCGCTAAGCCATTCCTGGGACTTAGTCCCGTGACACCGACAACGTCAAGAATGAATCATGGTCTTCCAAGAAACTTGCAGCTGAAGGTGCCCTCGCCTCCGGTAAATAGGTCGAGCTGAAGAAATTCTTCGACGAAATCTAGAGAGCACATTAGATATTTCCAAGTGAAATTTTACGATCGGGTGTGGGGTTAATGTTAGATGGAAATATGTATCCCTATTTTCTTGTTCTGCAGGTGTAATTTAAAACTACGTGTTAAAAAAAAATAAAAGTGAAGTTCCTGGTAGAGGGAAATTTGCTACATTTAAATTGGAAAGCAGAGTGGCGGACAGCTGTATTTTTTTTTTAACTTTTGATCATGAGCCAAAGCTATATTTTCCACATTGGGTCAAGGGCCGGTGGAGCCGGTAGGGTTCCCTGTAATCTTTCCCACAGCCCAACTCGTTCCGACCTCGTGAATCGCTACCAAAAGTGCAGCTGATTCAACAGAAACGAAAAATCAAGAAAATCAAAACACCTCCGAAAACCAAAAGATTCCTCCTCATTGGACCCAAGCAATGTGCTCCTCACGCATTCCGTCGTCCGTCACACCTTCCAAATGACAAATTTACTCAATTTCCGCAGGGAGCAAGAGATGAGTTAGTAGCCACCTTTTGTCTAGCCGGTAACCTGCTAATAGTTAGTAGATGCCCCAAAAGGGGGCATCGTCGAGGTCGCTGTTACTTCAAGCTTCTTCTTCAGATCCCAGTACTCCGAAACCTGTTGCTTCGGCCATCGAGACATCCTTCGCCGCGGCGATGATAGCCTCTTCGGCCTTTTTAGCTGCAGCCCTAGCCCCAGCCACCTTTGAAAACTCACCTTGTTCGATCTAACGGATCCACGCGAGCTGCTCTTTTGTCACTGATCCGGATTTTTTAGGTCTGACTTGGGAGGCCCGAGAATCCGATCGGTGAGGTCCCCCACAGTTATGACACTTTGTGAGGGCCTTGCACTCGGCTTCCGAGTGCATGTTTGATTCGCAGTTCCAGCAGGCTGGAGCGCGGGAGCAAACACGGGTGACGTGGAAGCCCAAATAGCGTTTGCACTGTTCAATTTTTCGACGAGGCTTTAGAATGGTCGCCACTACAGACTCGCCGAGAATACGGAAGCCCGCGCGAGGGGCGGAGTCTCGGGCGAACAGGGCTTTCCAATTTCTATACGGCGCTCCAGAACGGCATGTCCCGTGCGATAGCACCTGGTTTGGAAACTGCTGCGTTTTCCTGTATATCTCATATATGATCCTTTCCGCATCGATCGTATAGATACCGCCGACCGTTCTCATAGTCACTGGAACATTCGCGATCCGAAAGGCGACAAGGTTGGATGCTTCCTCGAACTTGGCATTGAATTCCGCCAACTCCGGTGTAGCCTCTAGGAGCTCTTTCTTTATTTCCTCATTCCCTGTCAGAATAGCAAAGCCGGTTCTGACACGGTGTATAGAGCAGGCGTCACTCAAGGTGCACTCCAGCCTGATCTGTAGTTGTTGCCTTATTCCGAGAGTCGAGAGCTGGCGCCAAGGGTGCTCCTTTTTCAGGCGAAGGAATAGTCGTTTGTCGACTTTCACCTTCGGGGCATCTTTCTTTGGGGCCTTTGCCGCAGGTTTCGGCACAGCCTTTACAGTTGGGACTGCTTTCTATCGCAGTCCATTTTTGGCCACCGTGGCCCAGGTGCTTTTTACAGGCAGCAATGGGACGGCGGGAGTTGTATTGCTCCAGGCTTCTGGAGCCCTTGGGGTCGGTTTCGCAGGGCGAGGAGGGAGGACGGGTGGCGTGGAGGCCGGGCCCGTGGCCATGTATTTCGCAATGGCGGCGCGTAGGTAGACTCTCATGGAGTCTACGAATTGTCTATTTGACGCGTTGGTGAAAGGGAGAAGGGTGGCTTCGACGCCAGAGATGGCGGCGGAGCAAAGGGCCAGATTTACCGCTGTTTCGGCGGCGCGTCGTTGTTCGGCTTCGATAATGGGTCGAATTTCCGGAGGGCAATCTGCTTTCGTGGCAGCTTTGGGCTGCGACGTTGATTTTGACGCTGCTTTGGGTACAGCGTTCTCCGAGGGTATTTGCGTGGTCGGAGGAGGTTTGGACGATTCTCCAATCCCGTGGGGGATGGAGACTCGTTTAGGAATTTCCTCAGCAATTTCAACTGACCCGACCATGTCAGTATCGGGCTCAGCGACGGCGTGGATGGCTTTCCCTTTCATTGAGACCTTGCTCATCTCCGCGCATTTCGGAGATTGGACAAGGCCAGATAATTGATCGAGAGCCCTCGGGCGGACTCTCGTGTTGTCCAACGTGGCGTTGGGACGCTTTTTACGAACAGGAGGCATGGGTAAAATGCCAGAGACTCGATGACAATTTAATGAGGGAATGCGACGAGCGCGAGAGGGAGGGAGAGGGGGAAAAGGTGAAGATTCGAAAATTCGAATTTGAAAAAATTGTGTAGATAATTGTAAGAACAAGAAAAACAAGTACCAACAGTTGTAGTTATAATACACACACTAAATTATATATGTATATTTATATTTTAAGGAATCTGATTTCGAGAGCAAGTATCCACACGCAGCTGGATATATAGCTGGTATGCAGTATACTCTTAACTCCACTGTCGCATAAATTACAACAATTCTTTTTCTACCTGTTCTCTTGTCGGTGCTTATACTTGCTGCTTTCCAATGTTCTGGGTCTGCCGACGCCTGATGAGAAGATAGTCGTTCTTCCTTAAAATTATTCCATGCGGTTTCCCAGTCCTGGAATGCTCCTATCTTACCCGCTTCTTTTTGTCTACGCCTCACTTTTTCGTTCCTGCAGATTTTATACCACTCGCTGGTGTCTCGGCTTCGATTTTTTGCGTGGCTATTTTCGCTCAGGCTATAAGCCTGCGATATTTTACTACATGCGGATAGAATCGTCTGCTTCATAGGTTGTCTTTCCGAAAGTCCGATATGTTGAACTCTCATTTGTTTGAGGTAGATGTCTAGTGGAAGGATTGAGCATTCGTGGTCTAAAGCTCTACTGCTGGTGGAATTATATGCCCCTGTGACTAGCTCCAAGCATTTTCTTTGGATACTTCGCAGTGGTTTAACTATCCTTTCTGGTATCCTACCCGTTGGCCCAGCTGCAGCCCATATTGAACAACCGTAAGTCAGGGCTGGTCTCACAATCGCGCTGTATATAAGCTTTGATTTCTTGAATGTTGCACCCCAAGTTGATTGCGTCAATCTACTTAGACTGAATGCTATATTTTTTTTTGAATTTGATTTCATTTAGCCTGATTTGGCGCCCTATGGGCCCATGCAGGTGTCTACGAACTCTAATATTTACATGGGAGGAAACCTTGCAGTAAAAACCCCCTTAGCTGTCTGACTTGACTCTGTGCGATTATGGTCTTACCTCTAGGAAGTGCACTCACATTGTTGTTGCCAGTGTGGATTCCGTCCTTGTCCTGTGTATCCATTTTCCTCTCTCCGCCTGATTAACGCCTCGATTTCCCCGGTCATCCGAAACTGCTCTATCCATCCTTCCTTTTGAATCCACTGCGCAATTCTGGTTATATCTTTGACGTTATTTACCATAGCTTGGAAGGATCGAGTTGTCGATTTTCGTAGCAACTCACCTCTTCCCTTTGCCCATCTTGGACAAGACATCACCATGTGCTTTATGTTTTGGGACGGATATCCACATTGGCAGCATGGTTTTCCTACTCCTGGCACGTTCCTTCTGTATATGTAAGCATTGAGCCCAATCTGCTTGCTTCTTACTTGTGTGGCAATGCTACTCTGGGCCCTGTTGAATGCTATATATTATTGCTTCTAGATTGGGTGAATCAAATATTCATAAATCATATGAGACGCGCACGCCTCTCCAGATCAGTCAGCTAGTATTGTCTCCTGAGCCTAATGGCCTGAGGTCGCAATATCGATCATCAGTGGAACCAACAGATAGAGAATATGTTGGTGGGTGTATAAAACCTTCTGAAATTACAGATCGGTGAGTGAATTGGGGCTTTACAGATACTTCGATGTTAACCTGGTCCGATTGACGTAGGATCACGGTAAAATAACTTCACCAACAAAAATTTTTTCATATAGCATTGCAGACATTGCACAAATCTTCCTTCCATGGACGACGAAGATGAGTTTGGTGCCGACGCCGAATTCCTCGATGCTCTCGCAGCCTCTGAATCCAAGATTAACCCACCACCAAACGTCAAGACAAACACTACTCCTCGAGTGATTCAACCTACGCCCCAACGCCTTGATACTCTTCCTACCCAAGCTAAAAGTTCTCTTCAAATCAGCCATGGAGCTAAGGTTATACAGCCAACTCCTCAAGTATTAAATTCTCGTTCAGCCACTTCGTCGATTCTCGTTTCACCTCGACAAAAAGGAAATCCCATTCTGACAAACCTTCGCTCTTTCGCTTGGGAATATTCTGATATACCTTCTGACTATGTGCTCGGAGCTACTACATGCGCGCTCTTTCTCTCACTGAAATATCATCTTTTACATCCCGAATATGTCTACAATCGTATTAAAAGCCTTCATGGGAAATATGATCTGCGTATATTACTTACGCTCGTAGATATAACAAATCACGAAGAATGTTTGAAGGAGCTGACTAAAACAAGTATTATTAATAGGATGACTGTCATTCTTTGTTGGTCAGCAGCTGAAGCAGCGCGATACATAGAGCTTTACAAATCTTATGAATACACTTCTAAAGATTCTACCGGAATCAAAGGTATGGAGAAGAAAGGCTACACGGAGAAAATGGTTGAGTTCATAACCATTCCTCGTGGCATTAACAAGACCGATGCCATAAGTATAGTTAGTGCGTTCGGCTCGGTCAGAGCTGCTGTAAATGCAAGGCCAGAAGAAGTTGCCATCATTGGAGGATGGGGCGAAAAGAAGGTGAAAAGGTGGTGCAGTGTCATTGACGAACCTTTTCGGGCAAGAAAGTTTTCAATAAAACCCCCAATGAACTATGAAAGTCTGATAACTATAATACCTCCTAACAATATTGAAACTTCCGCAAAAAAAGCAAAAGCTCCAAGCCAATGAGTTCGGGGAGACCCAGGATATAAGATACCGGAAGCTGAAGGCACCGAAATATCCAAACCTAATGATAAAAGTCCTAACAACACCTCAAAACCATTTGAGAATTCATTGGCCGGAGAATCCAGCTATCAGGCATGAGATAAAGAAGATTTTGGCAGGGTAGTTCCGAAAACATCTCTTGACTCCTTCAAACAAATTAAAAATAGCCACCGGTATCAATTTTTACATGGCGTCAAAACAGCTGGATAATTCTGTAATTTCATGTGCAGGCGGTATGGAGTGTCAAGTAAAGGATAAGATTTTAAAAATTACTACATTTTCTCTTACTTTGACACTGTCAATATTTGTTTCTCAATTTTATTTCACCAATAATTTATAATAGAAAATTACCGTTCACTTTACCTGCAGGTCATGTTTGGTGGATATTTAAGCCTGAATTTTTATTTATACTAGATGCAGTGTAAATGGAACAGTGACATCAACTGAGGAAGAGGGTGCTTAATAAAATCGAATTAGCTCCCTAAGTCTCCTTGTTGGTATGAAAAAGGTCACTCACTAAAATCCTATCAACAAATTAAAGCTATGAGAGTAATATTGTAGTTATTTTTAATTATCGTTCAGAATAAATGGGTGATCATTGTATTTTATACATATTATCTTGATGTTAAAGAATTGTTTCCTTTCTTATATTCGGATACAGTGTTATCGGAATAACAGGATCTGTAAATCAAAGATTAAGTCATTATAAAGCAGTAACCACCGACTCCGCATAACTCCAGCCAGATGTAATAGGAGAACGAATGCTGAACACCTGTCAGTGATGTCCTCTACGAAGCTGGAAGTGAAAATTCTTCCAGAGCCGAGATTCGGTCACTACAAAGGGTGTATACGAGAGTTTTCGTTGTGATATCGATCGGGAGGAGTGGTGTTGGCAAGTTTGGAGTCGAAATTCTAACCTGCAGAGATTTCATGACCGCACACCACAATGAATTTAATCGCCTATGCCCAAGATTTGATTCGCAGATAGAATAAAAATTGTCTTATGTTTGTATCAAAACAACCGACACCTTCAACATCTTATTTTCTTTTACTCTGGAAATTCATTCCCAGCCAATTCATCTTGCGACCCTACCCATAATCATCTCACCACCGACCGAAGCACTCCAGGATCCAAAGGTCATACTAGCAATCTAAATTACCATTGGACATCTATCTCGTCGCAACTGCTGTGCGCTATAAAAGTAGGGTCAAAGTACCGGCCTTATATTCGTCAAGCCTCGGGCAAGGGCATCAACTATTTGACCTGCAACCAAGCGCCACTGAAGAAATACGTACGACATGTCACCTGCACATCAACTGAAGCATTTTACAAAGGATCAGGCATCGGTGCTTCGGTCCGAATTCCTCGACCAATATTCGATCTCCACGGTTATGAGTACGGCAGCGACAGGGCAAGGCCAGGGGAATGGAAATTCTATAAAGTACCTGTATTCGACTTTAGTCATCTAAATATTCAGACATATAATGAATATGGTCTGTTTGTCGATTATGATGTGGCTGCGATTGCAGTTGGATGTAAAATAATGTAAAGGTCTTTATCAAGTATCTTTAATATATATATTATTATGGAAATACCCTCCCGTGAAGTCTACTCTAGTATGTACATGTAAATGCCTTCTTTTATAGATATTCCCAAAGTCAAATATAGAGCACCTATATCCCCTGAGATATATGTTCGATACAGAGTTGTGACCTGCCTCTCATATTATGCGCAAGTCCAAAACTACGTTCTACCATGTCCGTTAGTTCTGTATTAAGTTTTCCAGCCTTCACTTCCGTGCACATATCCTAAAGTGTAATTTGCCCGTAGATGTATGATCAGCGGCGGAAACCTGCAGTCTAATAAACACAGTTTAGACACCATGGGACTAGAGTCTAACTCTAACAACCTGGGATTGTGTTAACAACCGAAAGATTGAAAAGAAGCTGCAATAGAGGAAACTGAGGGAAGAAAAACTGAGGAGGCCTCGAAGAACGATTGAATGAGGTCTCCAATTAAGAGAATAATTCTCTGAATAAGATGAGAAGATGCTGGGATGAGGCATGGCTAGAATTGATCGGAAAGAACAAGTAAGGGACTAGGATGATTTGAAGGTCTCGGGCGCGTAGTGGTCGAGTCTAAGGAGGAAATAGCATTTCGGCGCGTCAAAATTGGATTCTATGGACAGTTGGACTTGATATGTTCAACAAATTGGTGAAATCTGAAGTGATCCATTTATTCAGGTAAGACGAGGCTTTTGTACTTATGTGGTAGTGTCGAATGACCATATGGCTTAATGACCTTTATGTAATGTCATAGAAATGATGACTGATTAGGTTGATGAGTAAGATGTTACCTATTGTGAAGGGCTAGGACTTTCGATCAGTGCGCAGAAGCAATGCCACAATTAAATATTTAGAAGAGCAGGACTGAACACCTGTACGCGGTGTCCTCTGCGAACCTGGGATTGAAACATTCTCCCAGAGCCAAGTTCAGTCAAAATTCGCAACATCGGACAAGTTGGCTCACAAGGCAATGATTCAAAAATCCCACCTCATCAATTTTCCACTCCCAATGAGATCGATTCCTTCCTAAGCCTCATCAAGTCTACAAGTACGACCAAATATATCCTCGTCTCAATGACCACACCTCTCTTCGACATTTTCTAGGCTCAGCTGGTCGCCAAATACACGCCCACGCCGATATTTACACTCGACGGAAGAAGCGATGTGTGGCGCACAAATCTGGGAGACAGTTCTTCGGGATGCACGTGAGAGGTATCAGAACAAGTTGACAAGATGATGTAGAGGATGGATACAATCTCGACGAGCGTGGAACTTTGGCAAGGAGTTTTTACAAATTGAGCTTTGTGCGCGCCATGACTTCATTTGCGAGAATACAGCTGACACTATAAGAACAAGCCCACGATGCAAGGTGCCGTGGTTTGCCTCCTGGTGGTGTCCTCCGGTATAGTCTGAGTAGCCTGGGTACCTACTCCACTTGGGAAGGAGACATCTCAGATTACATTTCGCGCGGAGAAAAGCTGATGGATGACAGAGGCATGTCTGGATAACTCAGGGTTTTTGAGACGTTCCCCTGGGTGGGTATTTACGGATGAGGGTTGACTTGGGGTGAAGAAAAAGCCACCATAACTTCGCAGTGGTACTTGCAAATGAAATCTGAGGCATGAGTGCTCCTCTTGTAAATTGAGTCATCTTTTCTGTACTTTTCTTTGATATTTTGTCGTAGCTACATAGCTGCATACGCAATGAAAATCTGATGCAAAAGATAAGACGTCTAGATAAGTACGAGGCTCTTAAAAATTATAATGCTTGTTAGAATTTAGAACAATTGAGGCTAACATGCAGGCCACGTTGTTGGTACACACGTGACTAAAAACTATGTATTTACTTTCACTTCGGTAGTTACTTGAACTAATGCTCTCTACAACCTCAATGACTGAGAGGTCATCACTTTCTTAATAATGCTTTTACAATGATTTTCACGTCGGAGTCCGGGCGCAAGATGAGAAATGCTGTATTTAAATAGACGATACCCAGAATTGACTGAAAATCAAGTTACATCTAGTCTTAAGCCCTGTGTGCTCGTTTTCTATTTTTCGTCCGTCGGGGCGCCAAGCTTAGCTGAGCACTACTACCCACGAAACTAACTAGAGGCACGAACGCCAGTGCTTACTGCCCTGGTAGTTTCGCCCTTGCTACTTCCCAACTAGATTTGCAGGGCAATTCTCTAATTACATGCACATGATTAAGGATATCTATGTCAATATACATCGGTACTGAATAGTTGTGGATCCTAAACGTAGCAGGCTAAGTTATGTAATATAGACTGCTAAATGCGGTTAGCCTATAATTAGTAAGCTACGCACAAAGTGTAGATTTCGGAGTTGGGAATTAGGGGATGATATAGATAAATTTATTAGAACTCAAGCTTAACTATTGCATTCTGCGGAAGTAGATGTAGTAGAGCCACGAGTTGGAGGGCAAGACTGAATACCTGTCAGTGGTGCTCTCTACGAACCTGGGAGTGAAATAATCTCCCAGAGCCAAGTTCAGTCAAATTTCGCAATACCGAACAAGTTGGCCCACGAGGCAATGATTCAAATAACTCCACCACGTCAAATTTTCATTCCAAAAAAGATCGAATCATACCTAAGCCTCATCAAGTCTACAAGTACGACCTAGTACATCCTCATTCCAATGACCACACCTCTCGCCGACCTTCTCTGGCCTCAGCCGGTCACCAAATACACGCCCACGCCGATATTTACACCCGACGGAGGAAGCAAAGCGTGGCGCACAAATCTGGGAGACAGTTCTTTGGGATGGACGTGAGAGGATTTAGGACAAGTTTACAAGATGATGCGAAGGATGGATACAGTCTCGACGGGCATGGAATTTTGAAATTTGGAAAGGAGTTTTTACAAATTGAGCTTTGTGCATGCCAAGACTTCGGTTGCGAGAGTGCAGGCGACACTATAAACACTGCCATGGTTGGATGGTGCGGTGGTACATCGTCTTGGCCGGTCTGCCAAGTAGAGTCTGGATAGCTTGGACACATATCCCACTTGAGACAGTAGATCGCTGGTTCGAATCCGGCAAAACACAATCACATTTCTCGCGGCGCTGGTATGCATGGATGACGAAGGCATGCTTGGATAACCAAAGGTTTCGAAATTCCCTTTGGTGGGTACTAACGGAGGAGGGTCGACTGTTTGTGTAAGCAAGCAAACCTCATAGTGGTATTTGCAAATGAAATCCAGAGTATGAGAGTCTCTAACGTCAAAAGAGTCATCCAACGTGTATACATAGCACCGGTCATGTGTCATAGCTTTGTAGCTGAATACACATTAAATGATTAAAAAAAAAAAACAAAAAAAAAAGAGCCACGAGTTATTTTTGTCACCATCCTGTTTCAATTGTGATCGATCGAAACCCACATA